CTCTGATAGGACATACGAAGCATTTCATGCTGTTTGAACGAGGCGCATCCCAGTTTGTTCGGGATGGCCTTGCAATGGCATCAAAAAAGGATGCCCCTACTTTACTGGGTTACGTCGATCTCTTTCAACTTGTACAACAGGTTAGAAAGCTCTATCGAAGAAACAGAAAGCTATGTCTCACGGTCTACGTCCGCGTTGGAGAGGATTCGGCACACCATCTGCTTTCGTCTATCCTCGAAGAGATTGCTGCCATCACAGGTCCAGAGTCCGTCATGACCATCCTCCTCCACTGCACTTCTCAATACTTGGACCCAAGGCAACTCATCTCGTTCCCCTCGCGGACGAACATTCACGTCTTGGTTTGCGGATCTTTCAACCGAATTTTTGGCTTGCCCGCGGGGTTTCTCACCGGACCACAGAGCTTGATTCGAGAGCTCCGATACACGAGCAGGGGTTATATGTTCACTACATCTCCACCGCCCTTCATCATGGACATGTTGCGAGGTGCCCTAGAGTGGAACCTTACATCTATCTAACAGCTCTCAAAGAGGCTTGAGACTCATACTGGTGTAGGGCGCTGGGAGCGAGGAGAATGGCATCACTATGCTCTGCTTGATGCGAAGAACCTACATCTTTCTCTGGTCATCCATTTTATTGAACCAAGTCTATTTTTAATCCAGCCTCAAATTCAGTCGCCACTGTTAAGTTGAGTTGTTTCGGAAAAACACCATACCGTTTGATTTGATGTAGTCTGTGATTCTTCCTAGTGAGTTCGCAAATGCCCTGAGGGGCAAAATGTCATTATTGCCGCCCACGTGCCGCCCAAGAAAGGTTTTGACTCCGAAGTGGAGAGACCCAAATCTCCACAAAGTTTGAGTAAGGCAAGCATAAAGAGTTGAATTGAAGACACAAATATAGACATGATAGCCAACTATTTAAGCCAAACTATCGCTCAAGCCACACTCAGCTCTGTTCAATTCGGCAATCGCCACATAAAAGCTACATCTAGCCAAGCTCAATCGCCCAGTGCAGTCCAGTGTGCCATTGCGTGGAATCAGACTAGTTCTTCTGAAGGCTGTCGAAGTTTCAGCTACTCTTCATCAAGAAACCGGAGATCGATGTTCCGCAGAGATTCTTGCCAGATGAAATCTACCTTTCACCGATTTCTTAAATCAATGAGGCAAAACTATGTCCAAAGTGGGAGATTCATAACCTGGCAAGCTTCGAAAGGGGTGTATTCAGATAAGTATGATCGTTTGGCAAGATAAGTTTGCTGCCTGCCTGGCAATGGCGGTAAGCACTTGGTCGGCCAGCTGTGGCAGACTACTGCAGCTTAAAAAAAGGAAAAAAAGAAAAAAGCTTAGCAAAAGTTAGCAGAACTTGAAAATGCGTTGATGGATTTGTCGCACAATCTTGAAGTAGTACAAGAATTAGTCGAACTGACAATGAATGTTTAGCTGCATCCCCATGACGATTGGCGACTACTACACAATATTTCTTGGTCCGGGCAAATAGTAAGTCTCGGCCGACCGCCTAGCCGGGCATGTTGCGTTGACAAATTCACGACCCTTGATCCCAGGCACAAGAAAGCTTAACTGACACCAAGCGGGCGTGGTCTTAGTGGCGGGGTTACAGGCGGGGACTACGGGGATTTCAAGGACTCAAACGAGGAGCTAAGAAGTGTTTAAAATGATTGGGGCACTGGCATTGGACGAGGCTAATGGATTGACAAGGGGGTAACAAATCAGACTCCTTCATGGCATCGGCGACGCGTATGTGGAAGCTGGAACTCTGCCTTGCTTTACGGGAGTCAAATGACAGCAAAGCATGAGACGCATATCTGGCAGAACTCTGAGCTCGATCTGGCAGGTCGACCCTTTTCTCGAGGACAAGATGAGGGTGACGCCTGCTGAACACAACATAAGCATGGTTCTAAGTGTCATGTTATGAGCTATGGAGAAAATCGAACGAGCACGCCTAAACAGCGTACTAAGTAAGTAGGCAAGGCGAATCTCGGACTCGTGAACCGACAGCGAATAGCGTGTGGTTCCGAGCTTTACTACGAAATAAGCATACAATTAGAGCACATTCGGCAGGACCTCAGTGCTACCCGCCGACAGGGCAGATCAAACGCCGAAGTCATCGTGTAGTAAAGCGTGGTCGCGTCGGCAATCGGTTGGGGGATCGCCCATTGGGCTCCAAGGCGGAAGCGCACTTCGATGATCGACGGCTTCCCGTCTCTACCGCCCCGTCGGGATCGTCGGTAGGCCCTCGCTATCGTTAACTATCCGCGGAAAGTTACGATCGAACCGGAGACCGCGTGGGATGCCCGCCAACCAACACGTCACGCATCGACCTCTTCCAGACCGCTGACGATCGCCCGTTAAGCTCTGGGCTATGCAAGTTATGTCGGCAAAAGAGACCCTGTGAAGACTAGCGTGGTGTTTCTAGAAATGTCGGCCACTTGCCGCGTACGACTACTAGGTGCTCTGAGCGAAGGGAATCAACGTTTCGCCCACTACGCCGAAGTTTCCGCCTCGTTTGCTCTAACCCCATCCTGTCTTCCCCCCTAGAGAACGTGTGCTGCGCGCCGCCCGTTGGTATGTGCCAGCCCTACCTGCCAAGCCTTATCCAGTTTCGTTTCCATCTGTCGGCGGGAGTCATGCACGGTCGTCGACCGGCATCCTGCCTGAGTCGCGAGCCTCCATGTTGCAGTCGTCACCCCATACCTAACCGTGTTGGTCTATAATCTGGCTGTGCCCAGAGAAAAAAAGCTTAACCCCTCGCCCACGGGCTTTCGCTTTCTGGCTAGCCATGAGCAACTCCAAGGGCTTCATCCGAACTTGCTACTGGCACAATGGCAACTCACGAACGACAACGGTCCGAGCGAGGCGTGATGTTGTATGCACCCGAGCGTGCCGTCGGCCTGCCCAACGCCCAGTTCCCTCAAGGCATACTGGAGATGGAAACTTTCGTGGTCGCCCTCGTAGCTCGCAACAAGTGGAGAAAAATGGTTACCGCCGATGGCATGCGGCCGAATTGTGATGGTGTCACCTACCTCACCATGCCGAAGCTTGTCGGCCAAGGCCACTCGATGTGCATGATAGCGTCGAACGTACTCTGCCTAGTCAAAAGACTAAACGGGGAGATTTTGATGTGTCGGTCTCGGCATCAGTGGTTTTGACTCTAAGAACAGAAGAAGTACATAAGGAGAGTGTATTTCCACTTTGGTCGACAATTTCTGATCAGCAGCCTCATCGAACAAGCTCATCTCACTCAAGACCACCTCACCTAGAAACATCTCCGTAACTAATCAAATCCTCCTAAACTTCACCTCGAGCATCTCGGCTTATTATAACTCCAAGAAAATGGTTGCCATCAAGAACCTCTTCATCGCCACCCTCATCTCCAGCGTTATCGCAACACCACTGTTGAGTGGTCGCAACGTCCCAGACATTGAAGTCGATTCCGTCGCTTCCATTGAGACCCGAGCTGAAGCTGCCAAAAATGTGAACGCTGCTGCCACATATGGCAACGGCGGATCATTCGGAAACGGCGGAGCATACAAGAACGGAAACAACGGTGGTGGCTTCAACTCTGGCGGTGGTTTCAGCTCTGGTAATGGCGGCGGTAACTGCGACTACTCCGAGAAGAACAGACTCGACCAGGAGATTCGCAACAGGGAGCGCATGAAGGACCGCCTCGATGACGAGATCCAGAGACGCCAGAATATGAAGGACCAGCTTGACCAGGAGATTCGTCGCAAGCAGAATGGCGGGTGGTAATTGGCGCTACGGGAATTTTGGAAAATACCAGGCATTTTGCTAGGTGGTGGCGTTGAGGATTAGGAGTTTCAGAGAGCGAATTGGTTTCTATTCATGGGGCAGTCGATTGAACATGGTGGCTTGAAGGATTTCCTACTGGAGCCAGTCCTTACAGGCAGACTAGGACCGTAGGCATAATGAAAATCTTGAAATAGTATGATCCACATAACGTTACAAACTTCGTCCTATTAGCTTTGGATTAAATTGATTTTGAGATGCTGCCTTCGGCTGCTATCTTGTCACGCTTGACTCGAACATTGGCGCCAAATCAGCTCCTACTAAGCGTGGCCCGCCACCACTTAGTCTATTCAAAATGCAAATATCCATGGACAAACGCGTGACTCTGCATGGAGTTCCTTCAAGTCAAAATCCCTTAAGAGATTGTCTTCGGCCCTTGCGGTGGGTGGTTGAAGGTATCCGGTTCTTCAGAGGTGGTCAGTGGCGGGTCTCGTTCAACAACCTCAGGCGAAAGACAAATTGCGGAAATATTATAATCCAAGCCTCGATTGATAATAGATTCTCGTAATGGCATAAAATTGAGGAGGAACCGAATGTAAGTGAAGCTATTAAGCACACATAAGAAGTCATCTAAAGACAAGTATGTTCCGTGTACTTACTAAGACTTGAGTGCACGTTTTGCGTGTTGATCTTCACCGCTACCGCAAGAGAAAGAAGCTGTCGAAACTTAAATGGCTGGTGCATGCAAGGAAGGCATTTGACGTTGTAGATAGGGACGTAAATTTGTCGCAATTCTTGTGGAAAGTTTGATTAAGACTTTCTTCTCTATCATCGAACGCTATTAGGGATTCTAATAGTTATGAATAAGATGCAGGTGGCAAAGGGAAACAATAACCGTTACGATTCTTGCAGAAAGCCCAATGAACATTGGCCTTTCCTGTAACTGAGCATCATTAACGTCTTGAGAAACTTTCCAGCCATAGAGAAGAGTTATAAGGCGGAGGGAGCGAATGGTATGATCCAGCAGGTTCGAGGCCTAGACTTTTGAGGGGCCCTACACACACCTAAAAGACACAGGTAGTAAATGGAATCCAAAGTCGTCTCAGACTCGCAGCACTGTTGAATGTGATTTTTGCATTGCTTTCGTAATCCAAACATCAAATCTTATTCGTACACCTCAACCGTAATGGAACATTATGGTACCTTATGCAATGAACCCTACTCCTTCTTACTTGCAGCACCCTCCGTCTTCATCCCCTCACACCCAAACGCCTTGCCAGCAATCTCCTCCGCCTTGCCGTATCCCTGTGTTGATGCATCGCGTTGCTCGCCAGCAGCCTTCATCGTCGACGCGGCGTGCGCCTTATCTTGCTCTCCAGACGAGGTCCAGGCGTGCGAGCCCGTAACGCTGCCAATGGCGGCCTGATTCCATTCTGTAAGTACTCCTACTCGCCTAGTCGTTGCAGGAGAAATTTAATGCGTTGCATGTCTGTGAACTTACCTCAGCGGCGCCTTTGATGTATTCGGCATGGCCGGCGATGAGGCCGGGTTGTTGGGTGTTGGTGTTGGTGTTTTGGGAAGACATTGTGTGGAAATATGTTTGTTTCTTTCCTTTTGAGTTATGGGAAAAATTTGAGAAACTAAATAAACAGTACAATCAAGTCGAGTATGTAGATAAAAGCAGATAAAGTCTTTCTTGTATGCATTGACCTTTGAAGCAGTGGGATTGGACTAGTTGGGGATAGACTATAGTCGAGCGACACCCAAAAGATGACGTCAAGACACACATCGACGTCATTCATTGACAGCCACATCACATGATTCCCTTCCTGCCCCAAAACGCAAGACCACCGCCAAAACAGCCACTGCTGCTCCAAACTTTTGCTACAGGTACTGATGTAGCAAAAGATTGAATCGCCTTTTCGGCAGTACGTCATGAAGAATACCCGGATTAGATAGCAGAGTCGAATGTTGTCGCCAAACTCACATACATTTCGGCGCAAGGCAATGTAGGAGTAATTTGAAGTTAAGAGAAACTGACTAATAGGTATCGTTACTGTTTGAGAACACCATCTAATCTTCGATGCCTGTTATACAACAAAAGAAGCAGATCTATACCTCAACCTTTTCAGCATGCGAAGTATTGAAGCCCTCCTTCTTACCTTCAGCAACGGCGATCCGATCTCCAAAGCGTCCGCCAGCTCTTCGGGTACGCCAAGCGGGAATGTTGGAGTCGAAAAGGTCGTCGATTTCCTCAAGACTTTTGCCAGAAGTCTCCGGGTATGTGAAGAAGATGTGTATAGTCATGGCAGCGCAAAAAGCTCCAAAGATCATGTACGTCTTCCACTGGATGTTGGTGAAGGCAGGAGGAACAAAGAAGGCGAGAGCAAGGTTGAACGCCCAGTTGGAGGCCGCGGCCAGACCGACGCCAGTGGCACGGTACTTGAGAGGGAAGACTTCGGAAGCATAGATCCAGCCAATAGGAGCCCAGGTAAGACCGTAAACGCCGACAAAGATGTAAGATAGGGAAATGACGCCCTTTGCCGGGGCTCCAGTGACCTCCCATCTCAAGTTATCGTCACCATTGACGCTGTCAACAGGGTTACCATAGACCTTCATGACAGCGCCAGTAGTGAAGTGGATGATGCAGCAAATGATGGCACCACCGATAAGGAGAGGACGACGGCCAAGACGGTTAATGATGGGGAGGATGGCGCCGGTGGTAATAAGGAAAATAACATATTGTATGATAGAAGAAGTCAAAGCTACGTTGCCAGACTATGTAACAGGTTAGCTATGCAAAATTTAGGTTATTATTTGGAATTACTTACCATTCCTGCCATGTTAAACAGAGCCGTAACCCAAAACAGCCCGTAGCGGCTCCCGGAGTTGCGGGTTCTAGAATAGTATGGAAGGGTTGGATGTAGTAAGTAAGCATTCCCTTCCTACTGAGATGAGTAGATGACGTAAGTCACTGTATAGAAGCAGAAACCGCTTAGATAAAGGACACGTATCTTAATTGTTACTGAGGGACGATGAACTTAGTATTACATTGTGCAATAGTAATCTCCGGAGGCGTTTATTCATAGACAATCCATGGCTCCTAAGCGTATACTGAGTATAGCGAGTACTCCTTAAGATACTAACACCACTTGACAGTTGAGTGTCGTACCGCTAGACACGTGGAACGGTAACTTATCCTACTAGTATCTGAAGACGAATAGATAGTCAAATTGGAATTGGAGTATGCTTATTATGTAACACTTGTCTTGATCTTGACTAGGTCCTTAGTGGGCTACTATGACTGTTTATGTCTGGTTCCGGCGCTTAAACTTTCGAGGTTACCTATTCTAAATCTAGACCCTCTTCGTAGTGACCGGTAACTAGAATATCCTCAGGTTCGTTTATAAATGATTGGTTTGTGGCAGATTCCGCCCTATCCGAGCTAAGAGGTGCCATGTTTCGTAAGCTGGCATCCCTATCTTCGGTCGACGTATTGGCTAGGTCCTGTTTATTTTTGATGGGTTAAAGTTAGTTGCGATGAATTAATAGCCATAAAGTATATACTTGAACTTCTAAAGTAGAATTATCACTTAAACTTAATGTAGTGCTGGCCGCTAGGTTGTTAGAGGAGCGGGAAGCCGAGTTGCTTATAGTTTCTTCCTCCGAGTCGTTATGTGCCTTGTTATATAACACCCGGTAATTGTTAAGCAGACTTTCGATTATTTTATTTACCCTAAAATAGATTATTAACGTTAGCTAGTCTCTGATGAGTATGGAAGTAGTTGCCTACTGGATAAGCTATATGCGAGATTCGTACGTAGGCTTATCGAAGTACTCTGGTTGCTGCCCGCTGAGGAGAGGGCTTAAGCTGATGGTCTAAAAGCTTGCTGGTCGCGGATTGGTATCTCCTTTTTGACTAGATATAATGAATGGTGATTATTATACGGAGTAAGAAGATTTTAGGTTAAGATAAATGTAGTATTACAGAGTAAAAGTATCGTGAGTACTTTATGTAGGTCTCCTCTTTATATCTGGCCTACCGTGTTTGCCTGATGGCCAAACTTATGCTACGTTATATCAGTGACGTTGAGGCACTACGAATAAAGATAAAGGCTGCCGTAAGTCTTAATATACTTAGTGAACGACATAATCCGTGTTAATTGTCGGAAATTAAGTCTTAGAGACGTGAGTTAACTTTACCACTTCTTTGGTATATAATAATTGATACTGGTGTCGTTTGATGAGACTGTCTAGGACGTATGTAGACGAATAAAGTTCTAGTAGTAGGTTGACGTATTTACCAAAGGCCTCTTTACTTGAGATAGTCGAGCAAACCCTTGAAAGTAGTAAAAGCGATAGGTTAATAGGTGGGCCTTAACTAGTTGTTTAGCTCTGTGTTTAAGTTAAGTTAAGGTAGTGTAGGAACCCTGACCCCTAAAAAAACCTTGCTAAGCCGGGCTATCTTCTATAAAGCATAGTGTTACGAAATGTCTTTGCCTATGACCATAATGTAGCCTGATATGAGATACCTGACCTAGTACCGGCGCTTTGTATAGGTAGTGACGTACTTACGATTTATTTAGTTAGCAGAGCTCATGCCGAGATAGGTTGTTGCTTGATACTCCTATCCTCTTTTTTTGAGGTCAGTAACTGACGAATTAGGAGTATCGATTAGCTTAGAAGGCCTCTACTTTGCTAGATAGTGCTTTCTAGAGGTTTAATAGTAAATCCTAAGGCTGCTGTGAGTGGCTGTTTAAAGTTTCTGGTCTTAGCCCTCTGGTTTACCTGCGTATGAAGATGCGAAGCTATAGATGGCTAGCTAAGGCTCGTTTTTTGAGTACTTATTATAGATACCTATAGTGATTGTACTGAGTATAGATGAAGTAGAGAGAGTAGTTTATATTTGGGGAGTGTGAGGTCTACTTGATGAAGTACGTGTAAGAGTGTTCGAATAATATTGTTTTATTCTTACTTATTTTATGGCGAATAGAATTGTGAAAATATCGGAACCGAAGCCGAATTTATACGCGAATTGTTACTGGCGGCTGTTGGCGATGTCTCTATATAGAAATATACTAGATAAGATGAGATCTCGCTATGATGTGGTCGATGACCTTATGGTTGCCTTTAGTACGATAAGAAGAAATTTTAATTATGCGATATAATACTTTTTCTTTTCTCTCTACCTATAAGTATTTTAGCCTAGATGACGCTCTACGCGTCTCTATTGGATTTGCTGTCTAATACTGGCACTAAGTATGCCGGGATAGAAAGTAGTTATTAGTATGATGGGAACAGGGCCAGAGTATGTTGCGTAATGATGTATAGCTTTTTAGAATCGATATCCGTATGATGATGTGTGCTGTTTAGGCTAGAGCTCGGGAACATGGATATGAAGAGAGGCTATAGGGTAACACTTCTTTCTAGACTAAGTTTTCGCTAGAGTCTATGCCCTAGTATGGGTCGCTGGGGTAGAATGTCGGGCTATGAGGAAAGTAGATGGCGAAGGGCCCGTAGATCGAAGCCGTTGAGAGACTACTTAACTAGCTTGGTCGTTGGCGAGAACCCGAGCCTATGAAGCCTGCCAGCGACCTCTTCTACTCTTATGCCCTTTGTCCGAGTATTTTCTGAAGAAAAGTTATAGATCTGGATAAGCTTTGCGTGTATATTAGCATCTGTGATCGCTTTTAGTTTAGCGAATGTGAGGCCGTGATTAACGGTGCAATGCAAAGCTAGAATACTAGTGCGGTCGCGGATCGCTATTTCGTAGGTTAAGTGACGGCGGTGAAGTCGATTATAAACTGCTTCGATATCTACAAAGAACGCCTCAAGTAGGCCGCCCCCGAGGATAGCCTCTTTGATATGGTACTAATCCGGGGATACAAGTCTCTGGGACCGGAGGCTTGTTTTAGATAGGAATCGAAGTATCTTTGTTGGGCTTTGGGTCTTGAGGAGGCCTCGGCGAACCTTAGAAGTTCGATGAAGCCGCGTCGTCTGATCTGTATGGTACCTGCAGTGCTACAAGGCCTCGATAGGCTCTCTATAAGTGGGCTGACGATAGAGATGTAAACCGGCCGCGGTAAACTTGCCCTTAGATACCTACTTCCTGATTCTCCTCGTTAGAGAGGCATAGGTAGAATAGAATGGGTATAGTTTTATAGTCTTGCTCTTTTGTGACGATGCTCTCTGGACGTGGCCTGTCTTTATTGTGATAATCGTACGCTGTGGGTAGTTAAAGTAGCTATGCCTCTAAACGACGCCTTTGTATGGCGTAGCCTCGAAGGTATCGAATGTAATGCTGGAATTAAAGAGGCGAGAACGAATGTCCCTAAGGTATGAAGTTTCTGAGTTGCTACTCTGCGGAACGGCCGAGCTATTGTTATCTCCTGAGCTCGGAATGGCTGATAGGTCTCCGTTATTAGAGTCATAGTCCTGTGGAATTAGTGCTGGCCTTGGCGTTACGACTCTATTGCCTCCTTGCATAGAGATCGTGAAGTCCGGTACTGCGTTAGGTATTTCTCCCGGTACCCTGCCTACTGTAAGGCCCAGCTCTTGATACTATCTAATATATGATACCGTGAGATTTGGTGGCCCTGGTTGCTGGCCTAACTAGACTGGATCGCCCATAACCCTATAAGAGTGGTTACTTATACTATTTCGCAGAAATCTGAGTCTATATTTACTGTATCGAGAGAGTGGGCGTCCTTTTTGGTAAGAATTGACGGTTACCTGCCTAGAGCTAGAGTATCTATGGACATGCTTTGTGATAGTTGCCAGAGCGAAACTAGAAACTTCGCATTTAGGGTAGTAATATGTCCTATACCTATTAATGCGGATAGGCCGGCTACTATACCTAGTGATATGCGAAGCTATACCGCGTGCTGATGTAAACCTGAGCCCGTATCCTCGTGTGTAGCTAAATCCGTGGCTGCGAATAGCGAGCCCTGTATACTGCTCCTGGTGTGTCTCTATATCGGTGTGGAGGTAAAAATAGATGGCATATTTCCGTAGGCCGTTGAAATTGAAAACCTTTAACCTCTTCCTCTTTGTAATGGGAATTGGCCGCAGAAGTGTATAATGAGTATTACGGGCTAGAACTGAAGTCTGGTTAGTAGCTGGCATTTGAAATATAAGGTAAGAATTTGTTGTAGCTAAAGAGAAGAAACTTAAACGAGCGGTGATAACTTGGTTGAGAATACGTTAGATATTTAAGTTAACATTGGTAAAGTTGCGAAAGAAGGAATCTAGCTATGCTAGTATTAAAAACCCGGCTTTATTACTTGTTTACTATGGATGTTTCGGTTCATATAATACGAAATGATTTCTTATAGAACGTGTGTAAGTATATGTAGTGAGATATGATGCATTTGATCTTCCTGAACCTCCTCCGGTAGTTGAGGTGTACTTAATAGATTATTTAAACTAAACTGCTTGACTTGTTTTTCGTTTCCCTTAAAGTAGTCGTAGAAAAGGTAGTAATGATAATCCTATGGATATTGCCGAAGTAAGCCTTCGTGATAGCAGGTCTGGTCGTGGCTATTTTGCTGCCGGCGTATTGTTAACTGTAAGCTATTCCCCGAATCTCCCTCGTCTCCTGGGTACCTACTTAGTATTTTTAGTAAGCTTACGAAGCTTAGTGCGAACGATGTAAATAGTCGGAGCCTAGGTGGTACCCTTGCCGTATTGGAACTCGATTTCGCTGGTAACATAACTCCTACCTCTAACTGAATAAGCTGGTGAATAGTGAAAGCCTGCTCTTAGTCGACTAGTACGGAATCTAGTATATATTGAGGGTGGCTACTGGGAGACTGTCTGCTCCGGAGAGCTTTTGAAAGTGGAG